CCTCCTTACACTTAACAGCATATACTGTATTACTCTGCTTTGGCCGGGGAACTGGATCGTTGGGGTGAACTAATCTTTGTCGTAACAATAGAGCTAATCAAGCCTAATTCAGGTGATGGCCCTCTTTTGCATGTGACTAACCTGTTTGTCCACCATGTGGAGGCAGTGCTTATAAGGCTGAGTTCACCTGAAACTCATCAGACTGAAGAAGTCTCTTGGAGGAGATGGGAAATGTTTCACTAAAGAAGAACCCATCCAGAGGACCTACTTTTTTTTTCTTTTTGATTATACAGCGCAACATACATAATAATTTACCTGCACTTTTGTTKGTTGTCTGTGAACTGCTGCATGATTCCCTGAATAAAGACAGAGTCGATGATCCGCTTCTGGAGCTTGCTRTAGAGAATGTACACAAGAGGCATGGTAAGATGGAAAAGTTTCAGAAAGAAGCTGAAAGTGTCATCCTCCAACAGTCTCACAAATCCTCCAGCTTCTCTCACAGTGGCGGCATCGAACTCTCCTGAGTCTGATGGTTTCAAAACACTGAAGCAGGTCATCCTTGTGCTCAAAAACAGTGTTCCCAGCTCGGATGTGGAAGTTCCACCTCACTGTGCTTGCTCTTGGGAGTCTGTGAGCCACCACTTTWTCCAGCACATTGGTTATCTTCAGGGATCTTAAAAACAAACAGAGAATCCRGTGTCTGAGAAGAAATTACTCACTTTTGGAATGTGAGAAGTTGCATGATGAGGTTCAGTTGGTGAGCGTAGCAGTGAAKATAGTGYGCATTTACATACACATCTTGGACCTTCTTCTGTACACCATCTGTGGCTCCTCTCATCACACTTGCACCATTGTATGCTTGTGAAATGAGYTTGCTCTTCTGGTCTTCAGGGAGAATGGAGCTCAACCTATCCAGAAKAACTACAGCGATGGAATCAGCTGTTGCACTTTGTAGAGGGATGAACTCAAAAAAACGCTCTTGGAGTTGTGCTGGAACTAATACTTTTAGGTTTAAGACAGTAATTCATGACATACTTTAATGACCTAGGTTTTCATGACATGCTGTTCATCAGCAAATAGAATGATTAAAGTCAGAACAGGATTTGCTAACAACAATCATTCTTAGAGATCACTTGTGTTTATATTTGTGTTTTCCCTTGACCTAGTATGCAATCTTGCTAAGATGACATAATGGTTTTTGTATATATA